GCTCCTTAGAATCACACAACCAATGTATATTTGTGGCAAGTTCATTCATTCTCAGATTTGGTATACATTTGAACAGAAAAAAAACATGGAAAAGGATCAAAAATTTGTTACACTATAATTATAAATTTAAAAAACCGAAGTCCTGCCCACGTGACGTTTACTTAACAAAAAAAGTTTTGGGTGTACATCAAGTTTCAAAGAAGTTTTCGCTAACAAACAGAAAAAAGAAGTCATTTGAGTCGCTGAATAAATTCTGTTGATAAGTTTGACATGTTTGCAATTAGCATTTTCAAATACCCTTTTGCACTACTTTCAAGAGGCGTTCTGAAAAAAGCAAAAAACCAATCAATAAAAGCAATCGATACCTACTTGTCTTTGTGTACGTAGTCAGCGAGCTAATTTACCTAACTAATGCAAATATTAGTAATATAGATGACTGCAAAAAGTCATTGAATATACTGCATCCGGTATTTTCTGCATAGGATAGCCCATGTTATTCGCCCTGTCCCAGAGTGTGAGCGTGCAAAGGCTGCTCCTAATTCTTGGCAACATGATCTGCCCAACTTAAACTTAATGACCACCAGATCATTACTCCTAATGAAATGATTAACAATAAATTTTCAAAGAAACCTTCCGGTCTGAAATTTCCCATAAACAGATAGTCGGCTTCTACAGATTTTTAAGATGATAAGTATTTGTAGGTGCTGCTCTATGGAAGATAGTTCGAAAGCTAAAATTGTAGATGAGCTCCACAAACGTACATTTGTCAGCTCGAAAATGATAAAATGTCGTAAAATAAACCTTTTGGCAAAAACTTGAAAGAAGCAACAGTTAGGAAGCGGTGAACACATAGTTCACGAACCGTTTCATTTATGGTGTTGAACACACTGAATAACCTGGGTCGCACAGCATGAAAAGTTCTCTTCACGTTCCCATTAAATTTCAACCATACTTTAGCACTAGTGATGGGACGTGCTGAAGCCGCCATTTCATTATCCCAT